TGAGCACTCAGCTCTTCTGAAAACAAGGGTTTAAACTTATGACTAAATATGCTATCATTAGCCAAACGCTACAGTTTGGCTAAGCCTTTACCCAGGCAATAAGATAAATTCAGGATCTCCTTATACTTTGTGTGTAATTCTAGTTACTTTTCAAATGATATGGCAGTTCGTATAGGACTAGCTCAACTGCTTTTGACTGTCCATCAGCATTATTCCTATGAGGAATCTGGCTCTCCTACCTCTTTTCTGCTCCCACTGAAATCAATGGCAAAATTTCCTCTGACTTCCTTCAGTAAAAGCAGAAGAGCCAGTAGAGGGAGCACAAATACATAGAAATAATTTTCTGTGGTTCCAATAAAAATGATAATGTGTACTATTTTTTCATATAGTATTTGCACTACTCCCCCCCCCACCCCCACCCCCCAATCAAAAATACTGTCTTGATCAGGCTCCAACAGATGTAGGTAAGGGGGCTGTGTGTTATTTGGTGGCCTTCCTGCAGTCCCTGGGACTCTGTGTGAGAGGCACAGGCTGGACCCTGTGAAACTGATCTTAGCAAAATAATGTTTTCTACCCACATAGCACTGCTGGGCAGACCAGCACAATACAGGGATCATCTTTGGTTCTTGGACATAACCAGAGCTCTGCTGACTGGTGATCTCTGCCAGCTGATCGTTGCACATGAACACACAGGTTGGGGGAGCCAGTACAATAGAGCCCAATATGGCTAAACAGTGACTTTCTACCTGGAACCCCTGCTCATTCAGCAAGCTGCAGGCTTCAGCAGCAGTTTGTCCCTTTATGTGAGCCCAGTGCCACTAGCTGTGCACAGAAAGGTCACACCTCTGTCCCCTCTCTGCCTACTGATTCTACTGGCAGATGTTGCCTGGAAGAGGTTGCTTTGCTGCAGAACTCAGAATGTGCATTGCTCTGCAGGTGAGAAGGTCTCAGGGAATAATACAGGACCCCTATCCTCCTCTTTACTTCTAAATTTCTTGAGTTTCAAATGGGATGTCAGGATTGCTACGCTTTTTGAGAGCTTCCCCCATAAAGGAGGGAAATACCTAATCTCTTCAGGGGACTGACTCAAAAAGAAACATCCCACCCCACACACCCCCAGGAAACCAAACATGAACTGCTGTGTTTCTTATTCTACTGTCTGGCTTTCCCATGCTGGAGAACACAGAGCCTGCCCTCCCACCCATCCCGCTTTGGTTGAAACCATGTACATGCAACAATTGCAAAAGCACTTGCCAGTAGTGTAAGTCTGCTCCCATTAAAGAAAACAGTTAGATAAATTACAAGTGCTTGGGAAAATGCCTCTGCTAGGTACCACAGAGGACAGGATGGAAAAAAAGAGTATGTAACCACTTGGATGTGAAACATTTTCAAAACTAACAAAAAAGTCACCTTAGAGATCCATTGGCGCTCTACTTCTAAATTTGGAAGAAAAACCAAACCCCAAACATCAATTTGGAGTTCAGCGGAGGCTGGGATTCTCAGAAACATACAAAAGGCTGCTATGTGCAACTGGAGGTATAGGCAGGACTAGCAAACCAAGCATTCCTATTGCTGGTAGTGCTAAGCTGAACACTTAAGTGAGTGACACTTTTATAAGTACCTTTTCAGTAATCACATTTGATGGCTTTTCCATCCTCAATTTCCTCTCTTTTGGAGAAAATGGTGGCACTACAATTCTTTGCTCTACAGATGCAGACAAAACTAATGAATTTGACTTTAGAGTACAGTAAAAAGGACTACAGAAATCTTTTCAGACCTTGGTGAAGTTGCTGCATGCATCCTGAAGTCTGTGAACTACCTGGTGCCTTACCCTGAATACTGATTTCCCTAAAATACTTTCTGTCTATGCAAATATGCACAATCATATCTGATTTTCCAGTGAAGACGACTAGTAAGTTTTTATATTTTTCTTTTCTCTACACATTCCAAAATGTTTCAAACCGCAGACTACTGGGTGGCCACTAACTGAGGAACTGAACTTTGTAGGCCAGACAGGCCTCTCCTGTCTCATACTCCAACTGCGCTTTCGCTGCAGAGAATTTCTCAGTTGGCCCTATATTGACCTTTAAAAGAAAAAAAAAAAAACCAACAAACCTGGATAACCCCTGAATGTATAAACAAATTATATAATATTACACTATAACTACATATATAGTATGCACTAATATACTATGTATGATAGAATTAATCTTTTGTTATTAAAAATTATAAAGAAGTGGGAGTTTTTAGAAAGGCCATGAGAGAGTCTGTGAGGAGTAGAAGATTTCTGCGCATCTGTTTTGATAATCATTCAGGCTACAGACACTTTACCTGCTGGCCTGGTTTGAGCGGTGATAGTGTTATTCCCTGGGTATTGATCACTGGGAGTATCTGGTTGCCGATGACGGTAGCGATGATCTGACCCTGGGCGTTGGTCAATAACTGTGGAGTTATCGGCTGCACCTGAAGTCCCTGAGCTCCACCTGCCGCCTGGCTGGAGGGGACTGGATTAGGCATCAGTGGGATTGTTCCAATAATCTGGAGAAAATGACATAGAAAGGGAAAATGCACACATGCCGCATATACTTGCCACACATAATTACTTGTTTTATGCGCGTTAAATCAAACTTAGGTGAAATAAGCACAGAGAGACACGTGACAGACTGAGGGTAGGAAACAACTGTTCCTTTACTGACGTGATGAGGACTTTCAAACTCATTTGTCGCATCACATATCACCTGTACGTTTTACCACTGTCATCCTCAACAAATCTGCTGCGGCTGAGAGTGTAGGAAAAAAAATGCTGGGCCATGCTTTGTTCCCACCTCTCATCTGAACACAGTGTGAAATAGGCGCAAATATCAGTCTGTTTGTCTTGCTTTCTACAACTCATCCGTACAATGTTATTAACTGTGAACTGAGGTGCTTATGTAATTTTCCTTGATTTACTGAAACCTAGTACTCTAGATGACCACCTATTGCTCCCATGTGATCTTGGGGAGGAACAAAGAGATACTGGTGCCTTTCAGGACATGGCTTATTAAGACACGTTCATAAAAATGCAGCTGCTTTTCGATGACAACTAAGTAGTACAACACAACAGGAGGGCTGCTGTTAGATAAAACATTTTAGCTAACATTTCTGGGGCAAGTACCTGCACAAGGAGACACTTGTGACATCTCAGATTTGAGAATACGGTGATTTCCTAAAGTGTGAATGTGCTTGTAAAACTAATATTACGATGAGATGTCAAACAGACACTGTAAAAAAACTTGTCAGTCAATAAGCCACTGGGTTGAAAGTTATGCTGTTGGAAGACTCTTTTTACAAGTATTAACGTATCTGAAACAAACTTCTGATTAAACTTGTGAATAAAACCAAACTTTTTTTTTTCTTCCCAAACAACAACAAATGAAACTAGAGTCATAGGTTTATTGCAACAGGAAAAGTAAAAAAAAAAAAAAAAAAGCAAAACACATCTCTATTTCCTTCACCATGTTTCCTCTGACTTTTGCTATCATAGCCCCCCAGAAAACATCTATCCCATTGCAAGGATTCCAGTCTTCCCTCTCCAGAAGCGTTCCTTCCTCCTCTTTATCCTCAACATCTGCCACACTACATATTCCTGTGATCACCCACCAGTATGATCCCAGTTGCCCTGTGTCCCTTATCACGTAAATATTGATCAGTGTAGACCTACTTGGTTGCTGAGAAATAAGGTGGATTATGGCTGAGTTTTCCCTCCTTTTCCTCAGTGGGGATAGTAACAGGGCAGCTTTCCTCAGTCTATCTGCTGATTCTCATTCCATTGAGGAGCTTAATCACTTTTTCAGATCTTTTCATTTCTGATAAATGTTGTTGAAATCGGTCAGCTATTTCAAAGCCATTAGGTAGGTACGGAGAGATGGATGGATGGGAAGAGGGAGAGAAGGATAGACAACACTAGTCGTAAGACTAGTTTCCTCATGAAAACAGGCTAAAGTATTTCTAATGAAACTTGAAGGCAAATATGTCTCCAAAACAAGCATATAAAATTCCTATTGATTCTAACAATTAATTTATATTATATCAATGGGAACTCTACAATACAGTGTTACATTATCTCTAAAAGACCTGTTTCGTGAAAACATCAGTGGCTTTGCGGGCAGACCACTAAGTTACCTTCTGAGCGTGCAAAACTAGAGGAACAACTCTGAATCTCTTGCTGAAGATATAAAAAGGATACATGTATAAACTGTGTTGTGAAGAACAGCAGGGATCTGCGAAGACCTCTGCATATTTAAATCACCAGAGGTGATACACAACAACCGCAGAAAATCCATCCTCAAGAAAGCATCGTGCAATGACATCCAACTAACTCAGGCATAGCTGGAGGGGCATGAGGCTCTCATCAAAGGATCACCCTCTTCCTTCCATTATTAGGCCAAGATACGACTCAGTCAAGTGACAGCATCCTAATGAGTGACTGCTCCTTCAGCAGTAACAGCCCTATGGTGTGCCTCTAGGTAGGCTCAACTGTGAAGTACAGCGTGACAACTTAAACCAACTCTTTGAGTGAAAAGAGTGCACTTGGTTAGCTATGGCAGCTCAGCTAACAAGTGGTAAGTGCTGAAGTCATCAACAATTTACCAAACTTGCCCAGTGAGAAGAAGTTTGGATGGGAAGACCAGAGAACCATAAAGAAAAGCAGGACAGCTCTCCTGTGGGAGGACCTGGTAAAATGGCAAGCCCACCTACTAAGCTGTATTGTAAGAGCTGCATATATCAAAACTGTTCAAAACACTGAAAAGATATCATTTAAGTTCTCCTTAATGCATTCCTAAAAGGTAGACAGATCAATAAAGATTACTACCCCCATTTTACAGAGCATGAAAGTGAAGCACGATGGAGCATATTCAGACAGAGGTTGTGATTTGGAGAGTTAGCCTTCTAAGCTGGAATTGCCTGCAAGTTTCTCTCTGTAGATCACAGTACTTTTGTATTTTTTTTAAGGTGTCCCTAGCTGAACTGCAGCTGCTTTGCTGTTCATATGAGAAGATGGCTGTTCACTGAGGAGGGAGGCATTTATTTACATCATTATCAGATTTCAGGATGTCTTCTAAATTCTGACTTTCAGCATGAATTAAGTACAACTTTCATGCAGTGCAACATGTAAATTTCTCCCCGTTTTGGGCGACCTAAAATATTTATGGGTCACAAATATATTCTTTCACTTTTAAGGTATCTCACCAAACACAAGGAATAATCCTTCTTAATTTCATCAGCAGAAACATAGCAAAGGCCTCTCCTTCCTTTGCCATGTCAGTAAAGGACGTGACCTTGGAATGTCATTACTCCAATGTAACTTTAACTATCAAGGTCCTAATCCCAGCAAAGCAAAAAATGCTGCGCTGGTGTTATCAGTAATAGAAATGTTTGCATTCACATTTAAAATGCATTTCTTGGACTGCAGCTGGACATTTTATAGAATGACAGTGCTGAAGTGGACAGTTTGTAAGGTCAGAAGCAGAAGGCTATCTATATGTATTAACGTGTGTCACACACCATTCTGTACATGGCGCGCTGTACATGCACACAACCAGAAACGGAGCAGGGAAAACATGCAGCTGGGAGAGGTGTTCCAGAAGGACAAATGAACAAATGCCCTCAGGGGTATTACTGTAGGAGCCAAGGGTAAATCTGAATGGGAAACATTTTTCCCATTTTGTGAAACTTACCGAGATTTCAAGATTTTTTTTTTTTCCCATTTTATACCAAAATAAAGTAAAATCTTGTCTGGTTAAAAACAAGATGTCCACCTGTCTCTAGTTACCCAACAGGGCTACTGTTTATGGCACGCATCTTTGATATGGCTAAACCCAGATTCAAGTTTCCCCTTTCAAGTTCCCCCTTCTCCAAGTACCCTTTCCCAAATATCCTAACAGCCCCCTGATTCACACTGCACGGCTTTGTATGAATAAGCGAAATATTCACTAGGGAGGAGTACTGAAACTGGATCCCCTACTCAAACCTTGTGTGACTGTCCTGATGCTGGGCCAGATCCCTCTTCCTCTAATTTAGGCGAGAAAGTCCATCCTGGGCCTTGCTAATCTGTCCTGTTAAAGTATCATAAAAGATGGCACTTTATGAAGACAATTTAAATTTTCTGAAGAAATAAAACAAGACCATGCCACAGGCTTGAGACACTGGCATGCCACAGTACAGACTATTTAATTGCCAGTGATTTCCCTAGTGGGGAGGCATTGCTGCTTTCTAGCAGCTGCTGTTACTTCAGATTATATTCAAGAACAGTTCAGGAATAGCATGTGATGGGGACTTATCCCACAAGATACTTAAAGAATCACGCAGTTATAGAATGGTTTGGGTTGGAAGGGAACTTTTAAATATCATCTAGCCCCTCTGCCATGGGTAGGGACATTTTTCGCTAGATCACGTTGCTTAAAGCCCCATCCAACCTGACCTTGAACACTTCCAGGGATGGGGCATCCACAACTTCTCTGAGACACAGCCAGAGAAGGCTTTTTACTCTGCCAATGTTTGGGCTCAAATTCATAAACAATCCCACCTGTCAAACATGTTCTTGAGAAAACAAACACATCCCTAAAAGTCCTCATGCTACAACAACATGATTGAAAAAGTTTTGGTTTTTTTTTTTTTTTTTACACTATGCACGTGACTTTCACAACTCTTTTTATACTTCATACAACTGAAAGCAGGCGCTAAGCATTCACAGAGGAGTTGAAAAACAGGTATTGTATGCAAAACAACAAACAGACAGTTCTGAAAGTCCAAGGGTTAACTCAAGGGACCCCCTTGTCAATGCTCCATAACCTCTAAGGGGGTCAGGCACAGTAATCTGCAGAGTGCTGTTGATTAAAATAAATTACACCTGGTTGTATCTACCTAAGGTACAGGTTACAGATATAGGCCCAAAATGTAGTGCAGATGTGACACTGGAAATCCTACTGGGATATTTAATGTAAATTCAGATCTCAGCTTTTTTACAGAGCCAAGGCTTTGGGCCACCTCTAATTAAAACACCAAGACTGTAATTCTGGCCCTGTTCAAGTGATAGAGTTTTGCCAGGAGCTTTGGTGGAGTCAGATTTTCACTGCAAATATCAGTAAGATTCTTTCATTTTTGTTTATTTATTAATAGATACAGCAATTGCATCTTGAGATGCTCAGAGAGCAGGTTTTACAGATGTTAATTTAGTTTTTTATGCTTCCCAATGTTAATTAAATTTTAAGAGTTGTTTTTTTGTTTCTAACTGCAAAGGAAATTCAGGGTGATCTCTAGGAGCATCCTATTTTCTCCACTGATTAATCTGTTAGTGTCATTTTAGAATCCTAGGATTTCAAGATATCTGAGGTCAGGCCTCTCAAGTCTTACACCCCGAGTCTGTCATTGCCAAGACAACTGCCATGATTAAGTGTTATTCATATGAAATAAAGTTGTAAGGCTTGGCTTGCATCTGAAGTTCATTTGTTGATCTGTTCCTACATACCATCTGTGGGCTCAGTGGTCTTTGCCTATAT